TCAACTATAGATTTGACATAACGTACATAACAGTTTGCCAGAAAGATTAATTTTATCTTGCTCGATCGAATGGGAAATTAACGTAGGCTATTATTATTCGTCATCGTTGTTGTTTACATCGGTTGAGAGAGTTTACTGTCCAGCCGTGAGCAATTTACTTGCCAATTCACTACTCGGAATAAGGGAATGGCTTAGTCAGAAGCCCCGGCGCCACATGCGCGCCACTACATCCGAGCTCCCTTGCGATATCAATTACCAAACCATGTGCAGATAGCGTTGTAACCGTCAACGTTCCTAGGGCTTATCAGATCAATGACGCCACTAGTCAAGCCTCACCGTTCATGTCTCTGATTCCGGCTTGGACTTTAGTTGGCCAAAGTACCGGTCGTTTTTCTACTATCTCACACACTCTTCTCTTGTTCCCCCTCCTCCAGACAGTTTCTCTGTCATCCGATCAGGCCACGATGGCCGTCACGTCTGTGTTTGCTGTGCAAGGCATGACGTGCGGTGCGTGTACTGCCGCCATCAACTCTGCAGTCGAAGGTGTCCCCGGTGTTACGTCTGTCGCGGTTTCGCTCATTACAGAGCGCGCATCCGTCGTCCACGATGTTGAAGTTGTGTCTCCCGAGCAAGTTAGAGAGGCGTACGTGCTCCTGTGTCTTCTGTCTCCAAGTTGAACCGACTAATATTGTGCATAGAATCGATGATTGTGGCTTCACTGCTCAACTTTTATCATCTCAAGCAGACGAGCCGGCTTCCGAAGTTTCCGACACTGCCGATATTGCGACGAAAGCGCGATTAGAGACTACTTACATCAAAGTGTTTGGGATGACATGTTCAAATTGCTCCACAACCGTTGAACGTGCTCTACGCTCCGTCCCGGGTGTTCAAGAGGCACTGGTTGCCTTAGCAACAGAAGAAGCAAAGGTAAAATACGATCCATCACAAGTGGGTGTGAGGGATCTTGTCGATGCGATCAACGATACTGGATTTGACGCACTCTTACACGACATGATGGACAACACTACACAAATCCAGTCTCTTGCAAGGACGAAAGAGATCCAGAACTGGCGTCGTGCAGCGCTTCAAGCTTCTTGTCTCGCCATACCCATATTCATTCTAAACGTGGTCCTCCCATACTGGTTTAGAAAGTACGATTTTGGTAGAGGGACATTTATTATCCCCGGATTACATATTAGAGAACTTCTTTCATTTGCTCTTGCGACTCCGGTGCAGTTTGTCATCGGCAAGCGTTTTTTTGTGTCAGCATACAGATCTTTGAAACATGGGTCACCCACCATGGACGTCTTAGTATCTCTGAGTACATTCACAGCTTATATATTCTCTTGCTTCTCTATGCTGGTTTCAATCGCGACTGCATCCGAAATGCCGCCACAGACTGTGTTTGAGACGTCGGCGATGATTATTGCATACATCACCTACGGCAAATATCTTGAAAACCGTGCAAAGGGCCAAACTTCCGCTGCGCTCTCGCGACTACTCTCGCTCGCACCATCGATGGCTACAATTTACGCGGATCCGAAGAACATCGCCGTCAATGCTACTGAACGTGAAATTCCGTCTGAGCTTATACAGGCTGGCGACATCGCCATTTTGCGACCAGGTGCCAAGGCACCAGCTGATGGTATCGTTGTCTCTGGTGACTCATACATGGATGAGAGTTTAGTCACTGGCGAGCCGATGCCGGTTGAAAAGCACGTAGGATCAGCTATCATTGGCGGTACTATCAACGGCGCTGGACGACTAGATTTTCGCGTTACGCGCGCGGGTAAGGACACGCAACTTTCTCAGATCGTAAAACTTGTTCAGGATGCACAAACTACTCGTGCACCGATTCAGCGATTTGCCGATCTTGTGGCCGGAAAGTTTGTTCCTATCGTCATTGTTCTCGCTGTCGTTACGTTTGCGGTCTGGATGGTTCTCTCGCATGCTTTAAGCACACCGCCTGACATCTTCAACTCGTCAGAAAGCAAGTTCATGGTTTGCTTGAAGCTCTGCATTTCCGTTATTGTCGTCGCTTGTCCATGCGCTCTAGGATTAAGTACTCCCACCGCAGTCATGGTTGGTACTGGCATTGGTGCACAAAATGGTATACTTATCAAAGGCGGTCCTGTCCTTGAGCAAGCTACGCTTATCACTAAAATGGTCTTCGACAAAACCGGAACTCTAACTATCGGTAAGATGTCTGTCCTTAGCCATAGCAAGACTCCTTTATGGGAAAGTTCGGCATACAGACAGAAACTCTGGTGGCGAATAGTTCGCGCCGTGGAGTGCGGCAGTGAGCATCCCATCGGCAAAGCTATTGTGGCAGAGGCGAACCTTGTTCTTGGAGAGAATGACTCCGAAAGTACTTCGAAGGATCAGAGCGATGAACTTCAGACGGCCAAATATGAGACCGTCATGGGTAGAGGTATCCGAGCGATTGTCCGGCATGGGACTGAACCTTACACCGTAGCAGTGGGAAATGTCCAGTTCATGACTGACAACGATATCGATGTGCCGTCCTCAATCCTCAAGACGTCGACTGAAACTACGGCAACAGATATTTGTGTCGCCATCCAACACACATTCGCTGGCACCATCTCCCTTAACGACATAATCCGAAAAGATGCTAGAGGCACCATTCTTGCGCTCGAGAAGATGGGAATCAACGTTGCTATGGTCACTGGAGACCAGCGACCTGCAGCTCTTCGTGTTGCCCGCGAAGTTGGAATTCCAGAGTCAGAAGTTTGGTCGGGTGTGACCCCATCTGAGAAGCAGGACATCATTCGCGCTATGCAGATTGAGTCACCAGATGCGGTGATCGCGATGGTTGGCGACGGGATCAACGATTCACCAGCTCTCGCGACAGCGCACATTGGTCTCGCAATGGCAACAGGCACTGATGTCGCTATTGAGGCTGCAGATATCGTACTCATGCGGCCCGATACCGTACTCATGGACGTGGCGGTTTCGTTGTCGCTTTGCCGCGCGATATTCAACCGTATCAAGACGAATCTCATCTGGGCTACAATTTATAACTTCGTGATGATCCCATTCGCAATGGGGGTGTTCCTGCCACTGGGTTGGTCTCTGCCACCTATGGCAGCTGGCGGTGCTATGGCTTTAAGTTCGGTGAGCGTTGTTGCCTCGTCACTTGCGTTGAAGCGATGGAAACGTCCACGATGGGCTACCGAGGAAGGTAGATTAGACTTGGATTCGTCAAGCAGGTTCAGTTATCGATGGAACTTCTTCAGTAGAGAACCAGTTACCGACAGCGGCGACAATCTACCATTGTCGCATAATGGTTATATTCAATTAAGCGGTAGAGAGGCGGTATAAGAGTAATTAGTATTTACAAGTGCTTGGAATTTCATTGGATATTTTAGAGTATATGTAGTGGGTATAGACAAATTGTGTAGGAGTAGTAGTGTTTTCTTGTCATTGTCATTTGTTTGCGGGACTCCAACCCAGTGACTAGTATTAATAATTGTTACTTCCGCTTTCGTTGAGTATGGGAGATGTCTTTCAAAACATACGAATCGAACAGCTTTCATTCTAGATCGGGGCCAAGGGTGTTGCTGTATATATTTATCCACAGCACTACTGTAATACGATTGTGAGTATAATAACATATGATCGAATTCTACAATTACATAAAATACATTATAAATACCAAATGAACATCCCATTCCTATATACAATTTAACACAAAGTAATCACCAACATTCGGCAATATCCACCCATCTACTAATATTTCACCTATAGAACTCCGGTCGATGAACATTAACGCCGTACTCCGCCAACGCACTCGAAAGGTCTTCCATCGTCAAAACAACTTTACCGCTACCGCTGCCGCTACCACCTGCACTACCACCGCTTCCAACACCACCTACGCCACCGCCACCCCCACCGAATCTCGGCGGCATACCAACCCGGAATTGGCCTGGTCCGGCTGCTGGATTGGAAGATGCAGAACCGGCGGACCAGGTAGATCGAATACGAGAATATTGGTACGCGTCAGTTGCAATATCTGACACAAACTTCTGGGTAGCAAGCGCCAATAATCGTTTTCTATGTCTATCGTTAGCTCGAAACCAGTGTTCAAACAAGACAATTCCCGTACATCCGTATGTCTGACGATTCAAATCCAGCTTTCATTAAATAGTAATCTGTCACAGCATCAGGGATCTATAATCTAGTTAGCTCCTTATCCCGACGTCTGCGCATGAATGAACCATACAATTGGCGCAAACTCTTCCATCATGTCAAGAAATTCCTTTAGGCTCTTATCCCTCCTAGCACCTAATCCCGGAATCACAGGCATAGCAGCACCAGCATTCTCCCCTCCCGCACTATCAAAGACCGGTATTTCAACTCCATTAACGGTAATCATCTGCACATCGCCGGGATCGGTTGCCACAGGCACTGCTGTAGCCGGATCTTGCGGTGGCATAAAATCCATATCAACTTCTAATTCCTCTAACGGCATATCTCTGCCAGATGTATCCCCTGCTTGTGCATCTGTCGTCTCCTCTGTGTGAGCTGGGTCTGGTCGAGGTGACGACGCGTCTTCTTGACCATCTACATCCACATGTGACGTAACCGCTGGATCTTGCTGTGGCGAATTCAACATATTATCGACCGTTACTATCCCAGTGAAGGCAGTGGAATCAATACCGTCGGCAGAGTTTAAGAGGTAATATTGTACGGGGGGATTTTAATCACCGAACCTTCCCGGACCCTGCTGTGTTCTTAAAATGGTCCACATTGTGCCACAACAGCGCCGCCGCCGAAATTTCCACAATTTACTTTCCGCAACTCCTGTTCCATTTCTATATCGATCTAACCAGCAAACTCATTACTCAGACAGTATTTTCGAACTGATTTTTTGAGTATCGACACATTGCTAATCAGAAACGGCGCGCTGTTTACCGCTCCCACCCCTAACCACAATGGCATGACAATCATGGCATATTTAGTTCCTGTTGTATGCACAAGCCTCTTTGGCCAAGTTGGTAAGGCGCTGCACTCGTATGTCTAGACGTGCAATGCAGCGATCGTCGGTTCGACTCCGACAGGGGGCATTTAATTTTGCCGCTTTTGATTGGCGTTTAGCCATGCGGCGAGCGATCACTTTGGCACTTATATTTTTGTGTTGTTGATGGTATGGATATTTGGTGATCCTGTCTCGTTATACAGATCTAGATCAATGCCGAAATTAAGTAATTTGGAGCTAATTGCGCTCGCGGACTCGTTTCCGTATCCCACCGCTTCCGTATACAAGTCTCGGCTATATCAATTCACGTCGCATGACCTGAAGGCTACTTTGGGCTACCTTTTACCGTCAGTCGTGGAGAAGTTGCGGGATCTAAAGCAATCATTTGTTGTCAGCGATGCGGAACAGCGGGTTAGCATTGCACCTGAATTTGACACGGTTGAGAAGAGAAGTAAGATGATGAATGATCTCGCGTTGAAATGGCGGATTGAGAAGAAGTTTAAGGTTCTGGAAGGTCAGTGGATAGTCTTTAGTCGTTGTTATACATCGATTGGATTGACGACTGATTGTATTTTAACAGGGTGGAGATCAGAATTGTATCCTATATACTATCCGTCGTCTGAGCTCTACTTTACGTTCGAGAGATCAGCTTGCCCCATTTTTGGATTCGTCACGTACGGCGTACATATGACTGCCTATATTCCCGCATCTGACACCAGGCCACTGAGAATTTGGGTGCCCAGGCGGTCACCGACGAAGTCGACGTACCCAAGTATGCTGGATAACACAGTCGCTGGAGGGATCGGTTACCCGTACGGTGTATTCGACACTCTAATTAAGGAGTGCGGAGAAGAAGCCGGGTATGATTCGGAGTTAATAAAAGAAAATGCAAAAAGCGTGGGCAACGTAAGTTACTACTATATTCGAACGAGCTCTGCTGGCGGCGAGAGTGGTTTCTTGCAGCCTGAAGTGCAGTAAGTTGCCCCATGATACAAAAGTGTAGTGACTAACCAAGGAGTTAAGATACTGCTATGATTTGGAGGTCACAGAGGACACTCCTCCTCCCAAACCAGTTGACGGTGAAGCCGAGGCTTTCTATTTGTGGGGCGTCCACACGGTAGGTAGTCATCGGAATGCTGGAGTCACTCATACTAAGTCTCCCTTATAGGTCAAGGATGAATTGGCCGCAGGCAATTACAAGCCGAATACTGCACTAGGTTAGTACAATTACCCCGCCGCGAATATAGCTGATGCTAAGCAACTTGAACAAGTGACGATTGACTTCTTGGTCCGTCATGGAGTCATCACTCCTCAGAACGAGCCGAACTATCTAGAGATCACATCTAGAATGCATAGAAATCTTGAGCATCCGCTCCGTTGATTTACGCATGATCTTTCTCGATAGACCTAACTTAAGTAGGCGGAAGATTACGTTGCATGGTGGGTTCTATCATACACGCCAATATTACGTCATCTCGTCATTATCCTTCTAATCGTTCCAAAAATTGTGGATCTCGTACCAACTTCCCCTGAAACTTCTGCCACCAGTCATTAAACGACTTCAACGAAACCATGCCATCCGAAGTAGCAAATCCACTCAAAAAATTGAATGCATGAGACATTATCTTGCTTGCCAATGCGGCTGTCGAATTCGGATCGACCGGCACCGTCTGTGTGTTCCTTGTGACTAATGCTGTGCTGTTTCCAGTCGCTTTCCCATGTAGTTCGTTAAGTAGAGCATCGACTTGTGCCGCAGATTCTATTGAAATGCCGAGAGATATCGTTATTGGTTCTGTGGATGGCATGTCATCTACCATGTCATCTACTGAGCTGGTCGTTGATGCTGCTGTGCCTTGATTGACGCGGAAGATAGCCGATGGCTTGGCATTCGATATCCTGGCAAAAAAACAAAACTGTAAGCGTTTGAGTACCAATTTTCATGAGAGATTAAGCTATACATACGCTCCTAGTAATTGGAATGGTCTTCCTGGCCATTGAAAGTAAACTGACGCAGCAACGCTAGGATCAAGAACAGCTACAAAAACCCCTGTTAACTCATTATAGAGATAAATTCGATGAACAAAACCTACTTCCAGGTAGTAGGAAGACAGCTATATGATTCAGTCGTGCTCCATCTTCAATTTGGAATACAAACTTTGTCTCGTCAACTTGTTGTAAGTTTGTTTGCACTATGTCAACAACGTTAAACAGGTTGCATGCTCAACGGCAATAGACTAATATACCTGGCCGGCCAGCACAAATAGCACCAAACATTATTCAAACTATCTCCAAGATATAAATTTCCAGAGAATTGTCAATAAAACTAAAAGCGAACGTCCACAAGACTTCAAAGTGATCAATTCAATTAATGTCGCTCTTCACAATTGGAAAGATCTCGAATTTTATCGCTGACGTCGCTGCGCTGCGCTGTGTTCCAATCGCGTTCCCTGAGCATCGACGTCATTTAGAGCCATACTCGTTGTTGTGGTTACGAGCCGCACATTTGCTGTAAACAAGTGAAAAGTAAACTTTCTGGAGCCATTCATGCATACCATATTAGAAGACAAAATCTGCTATATTTCAGAAGTCGCCCACAATGTCGATGCAATGTAAATGATCTGCTCTTGTTAAGCCTTTGACTATTGTACATAATGCTTACTCTCATATAGTCCAGCTTCAGAATGCACCAGTGGATATTATATCATCAGTACGCTTCAATCCGTCCGAACGATATAGCAGCTTCTTGCTTGCCAGTTCGTGGGACACTACACTAAGTCTTTATGATACATCAGTTGAAAATGGAAGGCTATTAACGAGAGTCGACTGTGTTGCGCCGCTATTGGACTGTTGTTGGGACGAGTTAGGACGGAGTGCGTTTATTGGCGGTTTGGAAAACCGTGTAAGAATGTACGTCCTAGAAAATTGAATTACGGATGAAGAGTATACTAAGCAATTGACTTAGGGTGGACTTGGAGAGTGGCCGATGTAATGTCGTTGGCGATCATGACGACGCGGTGAAAAGTGTCTTGTTCCACCGACAATCTGGCTTAGTTGTTTCAGGATCATGGGATCGTACGGTTCAACTCCTGGATTGCAGAACTAACGGCCGAGTTCATATTTCTCGTCAACCTCATAAAGTGTTTTCCATGGATATGGCAGGAAATTTACTGGTCGTTGGAATGGCCGGTAGAGCGGTTCATATATATGACATTCGTCACATGGCCGAGCCATTCCAGAGAAGAGAAAGCAGCCTGAAACATATGACACGGGCAGTCAGGTGCATTCCTACGGGTGAAGGTGTGTATAGCTTGGTGGCTGTTAATATAGCATAAGAACATTGCTAATTACGATCAGGGTACGCCTCGTCATCTATCGAAGGTAGAATAGCAGTCGACTTCTTCGACGCTAGCCCCGACGTTCAGGCCAAAAAGTATGCCTTTAAATGTCATCGAGCCGCGGAGGACGATATGGACGCAGTGTATTCAGTTAACGCCTTGGCATTTCATCCTTTACATGGCACATTCGTGTCTGGCGGCAGTGACTCGCTGGTCTGCTTTTGGGATTTCAAAGCCCGGAAGCGTCTGCGCCAATATCCTCGATATCCGGGACCAGTTCAGGCACTCGAAATTGATAGTATAGGATCAGCGCTGGCTATTTCCTATGGTGGAGATGTTGAGATTGGACTGGAAGGCAATACTTCAGGAAATAATGGCATTGTAATTCGGTCGTTGGGTCCAGGTGAGGGTAAGAGTAAGGTGTAAAGTAGACGTATATATTGGTGATACTACGGCGCTCATGATGATAAATGGAAATAACTTAAAGCAATATATATGCGCTACTGAACGTTTAATTCGTAAATTATCCTGCAATGCGCTGCCCATATGAAAAGTTACTTTGCTATAAGTAAAATATTACGACCCAGCCCTTATCCGCTATCCATGTCCTAAATAATATAGCTCATGAACAATTGAAAACTTAACAACCTATATTACAAATGCATTAAAATATTAGAATGCTACTACCATTGCTCCGAGTCATGCGAATAGAAGTGAAGTCCGGTATCTCGGCTCTGATGGTTTAAACGGGCGGACTTTCACTAGCGTTCGCAAAATGTTTCGCACATTCTATTACATTAACTCCACGTGAGTTTTTGAAATATCCAAGAGAATATTGAACAACCTACCTTATCTGAGCATACTGATGGCATAAGCTCGTGTGGCGACGAATACGCTTCAAGAGCAAAATAATAATTTAATGCAGCTTCTTCATACTTTCCTACATCAATATCAGTATCATATTCCACTTAGATCGCGTACTCAGGCCAGAAATTGGACCAACTTTTTGCGCAATGATTCTCTCCTTCAGTCAGATTTAGCACAATGAATTGCGCAATTTCCCACTCACTTGTTGGAATCGGTGCCTCTTGTAATCTCTTATCCATCAATTCCTTGTAGTGTTGCAATCTTTGCTGTTTCTCCTTCTTCCGGTACTTTCGTACAAGCTCTCGAATCAGACGGCGAAATGTTGGGCTATGCCGCCGCCGATAATCAAAATAGGCGCAGTATAATACTATTTGTACAAGTCAATACCTGAATTACCAAATCACATAATAATGATCGTACTCGGACAAAGTAGAATCGACCCTACTATTATCCCAATTGGCCCGCGCCTCAGTTCCATATTCTCCTAGTTGCCGCTGGATGCCGCTGCAATTACATGGAGCTGCTAGGAAAGTAAGTTCCAATACGTAGATGTGAAATTATTATATGGCCTTATAAGTAATAACCCACGAAAACGAATTCGTATTTTTCCGAAAATGCAGCTAACGCGGATGTACTAATGCGTACGCAACAACCGACACGTCGTTAAGGTAGGGTGCAAGGACGCGACCGAAAGGGTGATGAAGTTAGCCCCACGCAGTCGCAGCGTATGTTCACCAACTTGATTCTGCTGCATAATATGAATGCGATATATGGGGTCGTATAACGTATGTCTTTCAAAGTGTACTTCCAACTCAACATATTCTACAGTATCTATGAAATAAAGAGGAGAGGAATCTTTGTATATTGCAAGCTTGTCACAGTTTAT